TGTTCTATTCCCCCCTTCATTCCCCTCCACCCTGCACACCCCTCCTCCACCATTCCCCCCTTTTGTTTATGTCCACGTGTCTCACGTTCTTTATTTATATATTTTTAAGATTTTATTTATCTTTAGAGGGGAAGGAGAGAGGGAGAGAAAGATCAATGCATGGTTGCCTCCTGTGCATCCCCTGCTGGGAACTGGCCTGCAATCCAGGCATGTGCCCTGACTGGGAATTGAACCGAAGTTGTGTGGTTCATAGACCAGTGCTCAATCCACTGAGCTACACCAGCCAGGACTCAAGTTCTTTAGATTCTATATTTCCCATACTATTCTTACCCTCCCCCTATGTATTTTCTACCTACCGTCTTTGCTACTTATTTTCTGTACCTTCTCCCCCCTTCTCCTTCTCCCACTCCCCTGTTGCTGACCCTCCATGAGATCTTCATTTCTATAGTTCCCCTCCTGATCTAGCTGTCCTCTTAGTTTGCTTTTATTTTAGGTGTGGTTGTTAATAACTGTGAGTTTGCTGTCCTTTCACTGTTCATCTTTTTTATCTTCTTTTTCTTAGGTAAGTCCCTTTAACATTTCATATAACGAGGGCTTAATGATGATGAACTCCTTGAATTTGATCTTATCTGAGAAGCACTTTATCTGTCCTTCCATTCTAAATGAAAGCTTTGCTGGATAGAGCAGTCTTGGTTGTAGGTCTTTGGATTTCATGACTTGGAATACTTCTTTCTAGCCCCTTCTTGCCTGCAAGGTCTCTTTTGAGAAATCAGCTGACAGTCTGATGGGAACTCCTTTGTAGGTGACTGTCCCCTTAGCTCTTGCTGCTTCTAGGATTCTCTCCTTCATTTTAATCTTGGCTAATGTAATTATGATGTGCCTCGGTGTGTTCTTTCTTGGATCCAACTTCTTTGGGACTCTCTGAGCTTCCTGGATCTCCTGGAAGTCTATTTCCTTTGCCAGATTGGGGAACTTCTCCTTTATTATTTGTTCAAATAAGTGTTCCACTTGTTGTTGTTCCTCTTCCCCTTCTGGTACTCTAATAATTCGGATGTTGGAATGTTTAAAGATGTCCTGGAGGTTCGTAAGCCTCTCCTAATTTTTTTAAATTCTTGTTTCTTCATATTTTTCTGTTTGGTCATTTTTTCCTTCCTTCTGGTCCACTCCCTTGATTTGAGTCCCAGTTTCCTTTCCATTACTATTGGTTTCCTGTGCATTTCCATTCATTTCAATTAGTTTAGCCTTCATATGTTCCTCTAATTTGTGACTAAAATCAACCAGTTCTGTGAGCATCCTGATCACCAGTGTTTTGAACTGTGCATCTGATAGGTTGGCTATTTCTTGGTCTCTTAGACTTATCGGCTCTGGGGCTTTGAGTTCTTGAGCCATGTTTTGATCTGTTTGTGCCTGTTACATATGAGGAGCAGAGCCCTAGGTGTTCACCAGGGTGGGGCTACCCAGGTCACTGGTTTGTGGTGCTATATGTGGGGGCAGGGTCCAAGAGGGGCAATGACAGTTCCCTCTGCTGCTTCCCGCCACTGGGGCCTGCGCAGTCTGTCTCACTGCTTGCTCCTTGGCTGGTTTATCTGCGCGTGAATGTGTGACTGCAGTCAGCCTGCTGCCTTGCGCCCTCACTGGGTCCGCCCGTTGCTACCCCATGCCTGGGATCCGCCAACCACTGCCTGTACCTGGGTCAGTCCAGGGGATCTTTCCTGCCCGACCCTGCTCCGCTGCTGGCTCTGCCCCTCTTACTGGTCTGGCTGAATGGTTCGTTGTTGTTGGACTTCAGTATAGTTCAATTTTCTGTGTTTTGGCTGCATTTTTGTTACTGAAACTTTGTTGACTTTTAACTTGGTTGTGTGAGGAGATATAGTGTTTCCACCTACGCCTCCATCTTGGCGGAAGTCCGGATTGGTAGCTTTTAGAATTTCATTTCACTATTTATTGATTTTAGAGAGAGAGGAAAGGAGGGAGCAAGGGAGAATGGGAGAGGGAGAGACAGAGAGACAGAAACTTGGTTTGTTGTTTCACTTATTGATGCATTCATTGGTTGGTTCTTGCATGTGCCCTGACTGGGGATTGAACCCTCAACCTTGGCTCACCTGGCTTTTTTTTTTTTTCTGAAAGGGAAGACACAAATTGCTAATATGGAAATGAAATAGGACCATCACTACTGATGCTGTGGACATAAAAGGATAATAAAGAAACACTAAAAATAACTCTATGCCCACAAGCTTTATAACCTAAATGAAATGGACCAATTCCTTAAAAACAATCTAACAAAAGTCATACAGGGAGACATAGATAATCTGAATAGGTCTATATCTGTTAAAGTAATCGAATCAATATTGATAACCCTCCAAAATAGAAAGTATCAGGCCCATATGTTTTGATTGGTGAATTCTACCAAACATGTAAGGAAAAAAAATGATGCCAATTCTCTACAATCTCTATGTTCCACCTTCTCATTTATTCCCGTGGCCCCTGGTACTACTGATCTTTTTACTGTCCCTATGGCTTTGCTTATTCCAGAATGTCACATAGTTGGAATCATACCTTTACAAATTTTACAGATTAATTATAGATGAGGCATGAACTGACCACTTCCTCTGTTATCTTAGGAAAAAAATCTTCTATTTCTTTTTATTATGGTCAAGTTGTATTTCCTGAAACGAGGTGTTTCACGGAGAACTTCATCCAGTGTCCATTTGCAGTCTGGTGCAACCAGATAACGGTGCTGGTTTTCCAAAATCTTATGTTCATGGGTCATTTTTTAAAAAATTATATTTTGTTGATTATGCTATTCCAGTTGTCCTGACTTTTCACCCTTTGCTTTTTCCACCTTCACCCTCCATTCCTTTAGGCAATCCCTCCACCATTGGTCATGTCCATGAGTCATGCATATAAGTTCTTTGGCTACTCCATTTCCTGTACTAGACTTTACATCCCATGGCTATTCTATAACTACCTGTTTGTACTTCTTTGTCCCCTCACCTCTACTCCCATTCCCCCACACCACCCTCCCATCTGGCAACCTTCTGGTAACTAACTTCCTTTCTCTTGCTTTTAAGAGTCTCTTTTTCTCTTTAATCTCTGGCCTTTTAGTAATGGTGTGTCTTGGAGTGGGCCCCTTTGCATCCATCATAATTGGGACTCTGCAATTCCTGGACTTGCATGTTTATTTCCTTCAGCAAATTAGGGAACTTTTCTTTCATTGTTCTTCTCAGATAGATTTTCAATTTCTTGCTTTTTCTTGTCTTTTTCTGGAACCCCTGTAAGGCATCTATTGGACCTCTTAAAGCTGTCCCAGAAGCTGTACTATCCTCATGTTTTGGGATTCTTTTTTCTTCTTTTTCTCTGTGGTTGTTTTTTACTTCCTTATATTCCAAATCATTGATTTGATTCTCAGCTTCACCCATTTTACTGTTGTTTCCCAGTAAGTGGTTCTTTATTTCAGTTAGTGTATCTTTTGTTTGTGACTGGGTCTATTTTATGCTGCTGAGGTCCTCACTAAGTTCCTTGAGCATCCTTATAAGCAGTGTTTTGAACTTTACATCTGACAGATGGTTTATCACCATTTCATTCCTTTTCCTAAAGTTTTGATCTATTCTTTCATGTTTCTTTGTCTCCTCAGTTTGGCAGCCTCCCTTTGTATGTATCTACATATTAGATAGAGGTGCTTTGACTCTGTGTCTTGGTAGTGTGGCCTAATATTGTAGGTTGTCCTGTAGTGTCCAGTGGCACGGCCTGCCCCATTACCCAAGCTGGATACTCAAGGTGCTCCCTTTGTGTGGGCTGAGCCCTCCTCTTGTAGTTGAATCTTGTTTGATATTGGTGGATCAATGGGAGGCATTTACCCAGGCCAGTCAGCTACAGGGACTGGCTGGGACCACTTATCACCAACCTCCACCTTCTGTGGAGGATCAGCCATGCAGGGGTAGGTTGGTGGTGCTCCAGTGTGGTCTGTAGCTGTACACTTAGTATGTTGACCCTAGGGTTTCCTGGGTGGTGCAGACCAAGGTCAGCCCCCACCTGTGTTTTGCCCATGCAGCTCAGGGCACCCTGCCTGAGCTGTAAAGCAATCTGAGGTGGCTGCTACTTGTGCTGGGCTTGGAGATTCCCAGGTGAAGCCAAGCTGTGACTCCAGTCTGGTGGCCACTGGGGCTCACTGAAGACAGCTGTTGCTTATTTAGTATGATTTAGAAGTCACAATCAGCCGTTCTTATGGGAAAACGGCTGGGCTTGGGGAGAGCCTCTGTGGATCTCCAAGGTGGGTCATACGGTTCTAGGTTGATGCAGTCTCATATGGCACCAGCCTACCAGCTCTATGAGAGGGAGGGCTCAACAAAGGGACAATGGCCTCTGCTCGCCCTGGTGCCAGAAACTTCAGTCTCTTCCTATATACTTTCAAGCTGCTTCCCAGGTGCTGGAGCTCAGAGGGAGTGAGTCTGAGTATGTGAGTTCCCCAAAAGGAACTGCTTAGGGCTCCAGCAGCCTCCTCCACTGACTCAATCCCTGCTGGTTTTCACAGCCAGAAATTGTTGGGACTTATTTCCTGGCACTGGAATACTGGGCTGGGAGTCTGGTGTGGGTCTGCAACTCCCAACCCCTGAGTATCGCTCCTGAACGTTTATCCGTGTATGTGGGGCCAGTCTGTTCTGTGCCACAACCCAGGCACATGCCCTGACTGGGAACTGAACCCATGACCTTTCGGTTGGCAGTCTGGTGCTCAATCCACTGAGCCAGACCAGCCAGGGTGGACATTTAAATTTTTAAAAATTGCCCGCTTGTGACCTTTGCCAACTTTTATTTCTGGTTATTTTCCTGTTTCTTCTGTTTATGGGCCTCATCGGTCTGGGAGCTGCTTGGAGACAAGCACTGTATCTCAGGTTTTTTCTCTAGTCTCAGTCCTGAAATGTTTGCTAAAATGGAATTGAATGATCTTAATTTATTGTCATAACCCTTTGGAGACTTTACCGTTATTATTTCTATTTTTACAGACAAAGAACCCAAGACACAGAGGTTGAATAATATGCAGTCTCACAAATGGCACAACTGGGATTACAATCGGGCCTTCTGACTTTAAACCGCAGGTTTATGGAAATTGTCCTCCATTCCTTCCAGAGGTGTTTGCCTGGGACCTGTCTTCTTTCGGGTATCACCTGAGGATTATAAATGAATTTAAAGTTAAACAGTATTAACCTCCCAGGCACAACGTGTCCCTTCCTCTTTCCACGGTAGAAAAAAAAAGACGCCTCTTCTTTGCCTTCCGCTTTGCACCTCTTTTGGCCCCGGCGGCTAGCCATCGCCCGTGAGGAGGCAGTTGCAAGCTGAGGGATGGCGACTGGGACGCCCGATTCGCAGGCGCGATTCGGCCAGTCGGTGAAGGGGCTTCTCACGGAGAAGGTGAACACCTGCGGTACTGACGTGATCGCCCTCACTAAGCAGGTGCTGAAGGGCTCCCGGAGCTCGGAGGTGAGCTGGCACTCCACCCTCGGACCTCAGAACCGTGGAGGCTCCGGTCTGTCAGAGCTTTGGGACGGGGAGTCGCGCTGCATCTTGGGAGTTGTAGGCGGTGCACTTGGGCTAGGGCAGAGCTCCCTTGCAGAAGGCTAGTGTTGCGTTCTGGGAAGTGTAGTTTTTGGGGGGACAAGCGGTACAGAGGGGAAAGGATGTGGAGGGAATCTGATTCCCATCGGGGTCAGGGCACAGACCAGAAAGAAGCAAGCCGTGAATGCATCAGGTGGAACAACAAACCCACGTCTGTCTGTCTGTCTCTCCTCCTCCCTTTCTCACTCACTCAAATCAATACATAAAGTATTTGCAAAGAGAAAGGAAGCACCTTGATTTAAGTATACAAAAACAAAAAACCAGCAGTTGTCGCAGGACTGATGAGATAGTGGTCACAACCAGTTCCTCATTTGTTTCTCAGCATTGTCTTGGTCTATGTTGGCCCCCAAATTCTGCATGGTTTCACCCACAATATCCCAGATTTCTTTCATACATTTGTGCATCATCTGTCCTATGGATTTATTCTTTTCTGATTTCTCTCTCTGGGCACCTTCTCGGTTTTCTGTTTCTTTTAGATTAAGTTCCTTCTTCGTCCTGATTTTCACCTCATCATGTTGGTTTCATGTATGAAATTATTTGATGTCTTTTCACAGCAGAAAGCCTTACATACTACTTTCTCCAAAAAAAGGACCTATCCATTGTGCTCCTAGATATTCACCCAAGTTAAATGAAAAAATAAATACGTCCATACAAAGACTTGTACATGGTCATAGCATTTTTATCTATAATAGCCCCAAACTGGAAACAATCCGAATGTCCACTGACAGGTGAATGGGCAAACAAAATGGGTGTAATGACCAAGCCATTCCATTCCTAGTTTTTTACCCAAGAGAAATGGAAAATACACCCATCATCTAGTTACATAAACCAACCACAGGTATCGTATACCAGCTAAGATTTCGAGTTTTGCTTTCTTTAAAGTGGAACAACATTTTGAATACACCTGTAAAACAATGCGAGTACAGAGTCTTTAGATTTCTGTGATTTTGTCCTGTAGTCCATGTCTTTCTCATAATTAACTCAGTAGTGTATCTAAGCTACTTGTCTTCAAGAAGAATTTTTTATTTTCAACTCAGTTTTCATAGAAATAGCAACTCTTTCTCTTTTTTAATTCATATTACATTAGTTTCTATATTATTTCATTAAGTTACATAGTTGCAACAGCAAGCATAGTATGTCCCCAAGTCTTTAGGCTTATATATGAATGTTCATAGCAGCTTTATTCATATTCGTTAGGGACCAATAGCATTGTCTTTACAGAGTGAGCTTTTATCTGAGATCCGTAGTTTTTATTTTTTTATTTTTATTTATTTATTTAATTTATTTTTTAAAATATATTTTATTATGTCATTACAGTTCTATTCCCCCCTTCATTCCCCTCCACCCTGCACACCCTTCCCCCACCATTCCCCCCCTTTAGTTCATGACCCTGTGTCTCAAGTTCTTTAGATTCTATATTTCCCATACTATTCTTGCCCTCCCCCCTATCTATTTTCTACATACCATCTGTGCTACTTATTTTCTGTACTTTCTCCCCCCTTCTCCTTCTCCCTCTCCCCTGTTGCTAACCCTCCATGTGATCTTCATTTCTATGGTTCTGCTCCTGATCTAGCTGTCCTCTTTGTTTTTGTTTTAGGTGCGGTTCTTAGTAACTGTGAGTTTGCTGTCCTTTCACTGTTCATCTTTTTGATCTTCTTTTTCTTAGGTAATTCCCTTTAACATTTCATATAATAAGGGCTTGGCGATGATGAACTCCTTGAATTTGATCTTATCTGAGAAGCACTTTATCTGTCCTTCCATTCTAAATGAAAGCTTTGCTGGATAGAGCAATCTTGGTTGTACATCTTTGGATTTCATGACTTGGAATTCTTCTTTCCAGCCCCTTCTTGCCTGCAAGGTCTCTTTTGAGAAATCAGCTGACAGTCTGATGGGAACTCCTTTGTAGGTGACAGTCCCCTTATCTCTTGCTGCTTCTGGGATTCTCTCCTTCATTTTAATCTTGGCTAATGTAATGATGATGTGCCTTGGTGTGTTCCTTCTTGGGTCCAACTTCTTTGGGACTCTCTGAGCTTCCTGGATTTCCTGGAAGTCTATTTCCTTTGCCAGAATGGGGAAATTCTCCTTTATTATTTGTTCAAATAAGTTTTCCACTCGTGGGTGTTCCTCTTCCCCTTCTGGTACTCCTATAATTCAGATGTTGGAGTGTTTAAAGATGTCCTGGAGGTTCCTAAGCCTCTCCTCATTTTTTTGAATTCTTGTTTCTTCATATTTTTCTGTTTGGTCATTTTTTCCTCCTCCTGGTCCGCTCCTTTGAGTTGAGTCCGTTTCCTTTCCATTACTATTGGTTTCCTGTGCATTTCCATTCATTTCAGTTAGTTTAGCCTTCATATGTTTCTCTAATTTGTGACTATAATCAACCAGTTCTGTGAGCATCCTGATCACCAGTATTTTGAACTGTGCATCTGAAAGTTTGGCTATTTCTTCATCACTTAGATTTATTGGCTCTGGGGCTCTGAGTTGTTCTTGAGCCATGTTTTGATCTGTTTGTGCCTGTTATGTACGAGGAGGTGTTCACCAGGGCAGCGCCACCCAGGTTGCTGGTTTGTGGCTGTATATGGGGCGGGGTCAGAGAGGGACAATGGCGGTCCCCTCTGCCACTTTCCGCCACTGGGGCCTGCAGGGTCTGTCTCACTGCTTCGTTTCTTCACCGGTTTATCTGCGCTTGAATGTGTGACTGTGGTCAGCCCTCAGTGGGTCCACCGTCTTTCGCCCTCAGTGGTTCCGCCCGCTACTCCACACCTGGGATCCGCCTACGGCTGCTGGCGCACCTGGGTTGCGAGCCGGGCAGGTCCAGTGGATCTTTCCTGCCCACCCCTGCTTTGCTGCTGGCTCCGCCCCTCTTACCGGTTTGGCTGAAGGGTTCGTTGTTGTCAGACTTCCGTGTAGTTCAATTTTCTGTGGTTTGGCTGCGTTTTTGTTGCTAAAACTTTGTTGTTTTTAAACTTGGTTGTGTGAGAAGGCGTAGTGCTTCCACCTACGCCTCTATCTTGGCAGAAGTCCCCTTAGTTTTTATTGATAGTGGCTACAAGAAACAACTGCATGAAAAAAGTGTTTGCCTTTATCATAATGCTATTGTTGAAGTCACTGATCTGGTGATCCCAAATACGCTTTGTGTGAGGACCCACACAAGGCACTCATTTCAGGATTCAGTATCAGAAAAGTTACCTGTTTTGAAGAAGTTACGTTGCCTTTTGCTAAATAAGAATCATTCAACTTGTGTTCCACTTTTTGCCTTGGTTGCACAGAAATTCCTATGTCAGTTTTAGTGGTAGACATATTTATTTTCTTCTTTTCATGACTTAGATTCCATTTCCATTTTTAAAATGTGTGTGTATATGTATACCAAGCATTTAGTTTGGTATAAATTACCTTGAATCTTTTGTTTTTTTTTTTTGAGAGAAACGCAGTATAAATATATAAATTTGAAAAAGTAGATGGTGTTCATAGTTAACCACGTGTGTGTATTGAAAATCCGTACTTAGAATAAGCTTCCATCGACTGAGCATCTACTATGTGCTGGACACTGCTGTGTTATGTAGTTTAATTTACGAGGTCTTTATAATCATTAATAAAGGAGGTAGTTTTCTTACACAGAGGACACAGAGGAATGCCGCAGCCCGCTGCGGCAAGGGTGGTCGTGAGGCTGAGCGAGGGACTGAAATAAAGGAGAGGACCAAATGCTCTGCTGGCATAAGGCAAGTTTATTGCGCAGTCTTCTGGCTTATATACAATCTTGGATACAAAGGAGAACAAAGGAGAAGCCTTCTGGCACATAGCTCACTTCCTTGACCTACAAAGTTTATCTCTTCCCTTAGAGTCCGGATGTTCTCAAGCTAACATACTTTCTGGGTACATGATGCACAGGCCAAAGATATGAGTTGCTGGGAGAGGCGGCTAGTTTCTCAAGGGGTCAGAGAACTGTTACAACCCAAGATAGCCCTGAGGCCGGAAACCAGGCCCAGTTACCACACCCGCAGTGCTAGACCCTATCCTCGACCCCTCACAGGCCTCTTGGGCTCCAACAGAGGAATTTAATTTGTGCAGGGTCACACAGTAGCTAGGAAGGGGTAGGGCTAGTGTTCAAACTGAGGCTTGTTAGTTTTAGGCCCACGTTCGTGGACACCACCTCTCATGTGGCACCAGCTGGATTAAATGGCCAAAAAGCCACTGTGCCACCATTGACTGCCCCAGTGTGGCGTGTTCCTTTCTGTTCCTCCCCCCCCTTGTGTATTCTTCATGTGGGTTGATTCTGTAGTAGATTTAGACAGTACATTCGATAAGGGGTATGGCTTGGGTTAAGCTGAAACCAGTCTAGCTTTCTGGGACAGGATTGACAAACAGTCTCTCAAATCTCTGAACTTTGTCTTTTTTAAAAAATATTTTATTTATTTTTAGAGAGAGGAGGAGGGAGGGAGAAAGAGATGGAGATAAATATTGATCAGTTGCCTCTTGTTCTGAACCCGCAACCCAGGTGTGTGGCGTACCAGCAACCTTTCTCTTTGTGAGATGATGTCCACCCAACTCACACTGGTCAGGGCTTTTAAAATAAGTTTTTAAATACGTTTTTATTTTTAAGTTACAGTTGACATTCAATACTATATTAATTTTAGGTATACAACATAGTGATTACACATTTATATAACTTACAGAGTAACACCCTGATAAATCTAGTGCCCATGTGACACCATACATTGTTATTGCAATATTATTGACTATATTCTTTAAGCTGTACTTTAAATCTCCATGACTATTGCGTAACTACCAATTTGTACTTCTTAATCCCTTCCCCCTTTTTACCCATCCTCCCAACCCTTCTCCAGTCTGGCAACCATCAAAATGTTCTG